TCGGCTCACCGCAACCTCCGCCTCCCGGGTTCAGGCAATTCTCCTGCCTCAGCCTCCTGAGTCGCTGGGATTACAGGCACTCGCCACCATGCCCAGCTAATTTTTTGTATTTTTAGTAGAGACGGGGTTTCACCATGTTGACCAGGATGGTCTCGATCTCTTGACCTCGTGATCCACCCGCCTCGGCCTCCCAAAGTGCTGGGATTACAGGCGTGAGCCACCGCGCCCGGCCGCTGTAACTTGTATTTCTTTTTCTTAGTCACATCTTCAACCTTGGCAAAATAAAACTCTAAATCAACTGAGTTCTGTCTCAGACACTTTGTGGTTTATACCATGAATTATCAAAGTCTCTCTAATCATAGAAAAAAAATTCTAGGTGGCATAGAACTAATTTAGAGAACCACCCTTAAGGTTATTTTCCCATGGCACCACTTTGGTATCTATTTCCGTATTAGTCAGGGAAACAGCTGCTATAAGTGACATGAAAAAGGATTTATTACAGGGTTTAGACCTTACCCACTGTGTGATAAAGTCTACGGAAAGCTGTCCATATCTAACAGTAGCCCTAAGGTCACTGAAGTCAGTAGGCACAGCAGTTAGGAAGAAAAGCTGAATGTAAAGCAGGGTAAGTGTTGACAGATGGGCTTCTCATATGTGTCTCAGTGACTTGCAGATGCTGGTGACCTTCTCCCAGAGTTATGCAAGCACCTGGCCCAGGACGTGGGGAGGCTAGAAGAGGAAACAAAGAGGGAGCTAGAGGAGCTTTGGGCCCAGCTGCTGCCCTACTCCAACAAAGTAAGCTAGCAGATGCATGAGCTCCAGCAAGGCGCCCTGCACTGACTGCTTAACCTTATTGGCAACACCTTCACATCTCAAGTTGAAATCACATGCAAATTTTTTTTACATTCAACTGTGACCTACAACCACACAGGGAAAAGAATTCTGCAAAATGTAGTTCAGTTCAGCTAATTTAACATTGTAGAAGGCCACCATAAATGGGGTTGGATTTGCAGTTGATTTGGGAAATAAAGCTAACAGCATTTGTTGATGAATTAGATTTGGTAGGGAGAGAAAGAGACTCACTTACACTTTTTTTTTGTTTGAACATATTTTTAAATTCAAATTTTTGATTCATATCTATAGAGTAAAACAGACTCTTCTTTTTTGACAAGATTATTTCTCATTTGTTGTAAAAATTATCTACCCTCCCCTGATGTGTTTGTAATGCCTGTATTTCCCCATTTAATCTTGGTCACCAAAATCAGACAGACGGAAAGGGCAAGGACACATTTTTCTTTCATCAGTAGTGGAAGCCGTAGCAGATATTAAGTGCTCCAGGTATGTCAAATAGGTAAATCCATTTTTTTTTAGCCATGTCGATACGGTTTATTATGCTCTCATTTTGAATCCAGGTTAATTTCCGTCTCTTGCAATTATGTAATGATTTTGATAATTAACCTTTTATAGCTCTAGAAGTGCCTGCATACTGTCCCAGCATGTTGTCATTACCTTCACATTACTCTTCAGGGCATTGTAACTCCCTTATTAATTCAACATTAATGTTTAGTCCCCATCTTCAGAAATCAGATCTACCTCCTGCTTATTGAAAGTCTTTTCTCTAGTGACTGCCAAATCACTGTCCTTTCCCTATTCCCTTCTTACCTTCTCAGCCTCTTCCGCCTGCCGCTCTTTCGGTTGTTTCTCTAGTATTGAATCCCCAGAGCCCTGCCTTTTATTTTTCTCTATTTTGTTCTCCAAGGATGATGATGATCAATTTCACTGCCTCAGTGGATGTTACCAACAGTCTAGTGTCTTGCAATCTACATAATAATAGCACCTGCTTCTTAGTGAGCAACTACCACTTGCCATGCACAATGTCAAGATATATCATCTCTAATTTTTTGAAAACCTAGAATCTTTTGAAAGAAATTCCTGATGTTGGCATTGATTATCCCAGTTTTCAAATGAGGAAATTAAGGCTCTATAAAGTTCAAGATTTTCCTCTAGCTAGTTAGTAAATAGATTTCAAGTGGGGATTTTCTAACTTGTAAGCTATTGCCATTAACTATGATTTCCTGCTGACCAAAGATTCAGCTGAGATCTCATTATCAGAATTAAATATCCAATAACATGCTGAAGGGACATCACCTGATGTATCCTTATTATTTCAAGCTTAATACATTTAAGTCCATGTATTAGTCAGGGTTCTCTAGAGGGACAGGACTAATATGAGAGATGTATATATGAAAGGGAGTTTATTAAGGACAATTGATTCACATGATCACAAGATAAAGTCCCAAAATAGGCCCTCTGCAAGTTAAGCAGCAAGGAAGCCAGTCTGAGTCCAAAAACCTCAAAAGTAGGGAAGCCTACAGTGCAGACTTCAGTCAGTGGCTGAAGACCTGAGGGTCCCTAGCAAACCACTTGCATAAGTTCAAGAGTCTAAAAGCTAAAGAACTTGGAGTCTGATGTTTGAGGGCAGAAAGCATCCGGCATGGGAGAAGGATGAAGGCCAGAAGACTCAGCCAGGCTAGTCCTCCACATTCCTTTGCCTGCTTTTATCCTAGCCTCCGTGGCAGCTGATTAGATGGTGTCCACCCAGAGTGAGGGTGAATCTGTCTCTCCCAGTCCACTGACTCAAATGTTAATCTCCTTTGGCAACACCCTCACAGATACACCCAGGAACAATACTTTGCATCCTTCAATCCAATCAAGTTGACAATCAATAGTAACCATCACAGTCCATATTAGTATTATCACTCTCATCAACCATTCCACCACTCTAACCCCCAGCCCACCCAAAGTATACAGCTAAACAAATGTATATCCTCTGGTGTTTCTTATTCTTTTCAGGATAACATCCTTCAAATATTTCTAAATCTGGAAGGATCTCTGGATGCTCCATCTCCTGCATTGCTCATATCTAGTTTTTCCCCAAGTCCTCCAGTGTTGGGAGGTATCTCTGGATCACTTTGGCTCCTGGCATTCTATTCCCCCTTCTCCTGACCTCCTGCCTCTGTTTATTCCATATCACATTTGGCTCTCTATACTACTGCCAAGATTATCTTCAGAAAAGAAAAATCAACCTGATCTTTCCAGTTTGCCTTAAAACCTTTCTTTACTCCATGTTGCCCAGAGAATAAATTTGAATCTCTTTGGTATGCCACCAAAAGCCCTTGACAATTGGCCTGGCCTATCTTGCAGTTAGCTATTTTTCACACATATACAACTGATTATTTTTCAGATGGATGTAGATGTTGACATGCAGAAAATACAAACATTTCAAAACTTGTCAATTTATTATAACTTTTTATCACATTTTTCTCAATCAAGGAATACTAAAAAGCATTATTATTATCATGTGGAGTTGTAATTTTATGCTTCATAGAAAAGAGATTCTCATAATGTAAATGCTGGTAACCAACTAGATCAGATTTCTATGAAGTATTTTTTCCAAGTTTCAGAGTTTATTTAAAATAACTTTCTTAGCAGAAGCTGTTAGAAAAGTATAGCTTCTAAGTTCAAGGGTGTACCTGGACTAATGATTTTTTTTTTTTTTTTGAGGTGGAGTTTCACGCGTATTGCCCAGGCTGGAGTGCAATGGCACCATCTCCACTCACTGCAACCTTCGCCTCCTGGGTTCAAGTGATTCTCCAGCCTCAGCCTCCCGAGTAGCTGGGGTTGCAGGCATCCACCACTACACCTGACTAATTTTTGTATTTTTAGTAGAGATGGGGTTTCACCATATTGGCCAGGCTGCTCTCAAACTCCTGACCTCAGGTGATCCACCTGCCTTGGCCTCCCAAAGTGATAGGATTACAGGCATGAGCCACCATACCGGCCAAATTGTTTAAATTTGATGTCTGGGGAAGGAAGGAGGGAGGGTTGGATGCTGGGATGATGGAAAGACACTGGCCCCAAGGCCTATACAAGGCAGGGAAAGATTTTATTCTTCATTCTTAATAATACAACTAAAATAATTTTTAAGTGCCTCTGACTCTTTTAATAGGCTCCAATAAGGGAATTAAGGCAGAGTTAAGAAAAAGACATCATTTAGTAATACTGTAAAGTCATGCTATAAAACTCTGTGTTCTGTTATGATCTGTGACAAAGGAACGGTGGAAACTATTTTCCATCCTAAAGAAGCCACCTGTTCTTTAGGCAGCATCACCAAGAAGCCAACTAATCAGTCTCCCATGGCAGAAGCAGTGTGCGGAGGTTAGCAAGAATGGGCTATGGGTTCAAACAGGTTTGGGTGTATATACTAGGCATATTCTTGGTAACTTCATATCTGACCTTAAATCAAAGCTCTGGGACTTTATTTTTTAATCTTCAAATTGGAACAAAATACACATTTCAAAGTTCGGGTGAGGGTTATATGAATTCAGGTTGATCTGCAAGGAATTTATACAGGTCCGTTAGTTTCTCTACAGTGCTGTGCTTCAAATACTTCTTATATGATATGTCTAGTGCTTCCATTTTTCTGACTGGAAATGTCCTTAGAGCTGATTTAGTACAGTAAGTTTACTGAATGGAAACTTAAATAAATCTCATAGCTTATCTGTAGTTACATCAAAAAGGAATTGCATAGTGAGGACCCTATGCTATGTTTTTTTTTCTTTTCTTTCTAGCATTTATTTCATTCCTAGTGATAAGGAAATCAGTCACCAGCCAAATAATATTAAGATAGAAAATTCACTTGGGATATAGCAAATAGTCAAGCACTTGCTCAATGCCAGTGCCATTCCAGGAGATGGTAGATGTACGAGGTTCTTTACCTGAGGGACTCACAGTCTGGTGGGAGGCATAGACTTAACCCAAGATCTGGGGGAGATTAGGCTGGAATGTGTGTGTAGAGGGCAGTCTACCAGCTCACCATCTATTAATTCAACACTAATCTGTGGAGCAAAAGAGGTCTGTGTCAAGTACCATGTTCTGCTAACTCTGATAATGACGAGAAAAATAACATGCAAATAATGTACAGTCACAGAGTGGGAACAGAAATATGACACAGAGACAAATGAATACAACTTTAGGCAATGGTTTTCTCTACAGAAAGTACAAGCAAAAACAGAAGTTGCATTATTTAAAGTGCAGCAAACGAGGAGGCCTCTAAACAGCTGCAATTGGGCTTATTGCTCTCTCTGGAAATATCTCTGTCATTCAGTCACATTTATTTTCTACATTCAGACTCACAGACATAGCTTTACTCCTAGCATTTTCCCTCCTTCTCTTCCCTTTCTTCTACTCTATACATCCTTCCTAACCATCTCCCATTTTTTTTCCTCCCAGCTTCTGGTCTGATGTAGCATTAACCTAGCAACAGCAGAGGCTGCACCCCTTTGAAGCCCTGCTGGGACTCTGCAGGGATGAGGTCACTTCCAGTCTGCATAATTCTCTAGATAGCAGAACGTAGTGGGTGGTGGGCAGAGAGAAACCTGAGAATAGCTTAGGGCTGCCTGCAGCCCTCTTGGTGCAGTCAGTATCTATTTCTGCATCACTTCCTCTGTACAATTTTGAATTATTTGTAATCAGACAGCGGGTCTGTGGTGCTCAACTGTAGTTGGTCATCAGAATCTTCAAAGGGGCTTTTAAGAGATGGGATCATCCAGGCCACAGAGAGGCCCACTGCCATGTAACTCTTGGTAGACGATCATGTCTGAGAATGTCTTATAAAGTTGCACAGATGCTTCTGATATGCAGGCAGAGCTGAGAATTATCGGAGAGAATTCAATTTTGTATAGAGTTTTCATAGAAAACTTAATTTTGTGAACTACTGTTAAAGAAAGGCTATAAGCAAACTCCTTTCACATATGGAAGAGTTAAGTTTAAAGATCGTAAAGGCTGAGAAAATTTTTTTGAAATACAAAAATTTCCATATAGCTTTTAAGTTTGTGAGAAACTTATGGGAATCATTGAGAAGGGTCCTGCTCAAGTTTTCAGGTCTGGAGGGGTGGGCAGGGTATCCTGACCCAGACGTAAGTTCTGCTTTTTGTAATTGTGGTGGTGTCTAGTCAAATGTTGACTTATGTCCAAAATGACAATAATAATGGCTGACATTTAAAAATTCATACTACATGCCAGGTGCTCTACTAGATCTCACTAGTCCTCTGATTACCTTTAAACCCCACGACAGCTCTGAATGACTGTTATATGGCTTCTACTTGACAGGTGAAGGAACCATGGCTTAATGCCACACAGGTTGTAGATGATAAAGTGAGGAGTCAAAACAGATCTCTCTGATTCCAAAGTCCAGATTGTCAACATGAGAGCTTGGGAGAGCATGAATTGTGTGGGGAGACCTGGCTGAACATGAGGTAACAGCTAGGATGCTTGAGTGTGTGGACTGAAGAGATGGCTGACACCAAGGAAGCTGGAACATTGGGGTGTACAGGATGACTGCCCACCTTGCTGGGACTCCATGCTCCTCTGGGCGGTAATTTTTGAATTATCATTTCAACCTCACTGCTTGTTATCGGTCTGTTCAGTGTATCTAATTCTTCCTGATTTAGGCTAAGAAGGTGGTATATTTCCAGTAATTTATCCATCTTCCCTAGGTTTTCTAGTTTATGAGCATAAAGATGTTCATAGTAGCCTTGAATGATCTTTTGTATTTCTTCTATCAATTTTATCTTTTAAAAGAACCAGCATTTTTTTTCATTTATCTTTTGTATTGCTTTGTTTGCTTCGATTTCATTTAGCTCTGCTCGGATCTTGGTTATTTCCTTTCTTCTGATGGGTTTGGGTCTGGTTTTTTCTTGTTTCTCTAGCTCCTCGAGGTGTGATCTTAGGTTGTCTGTGCGCTTTCAGACTTTTTGATGTAGGTATTTAGAGCTATGAACATTTCTCTTTGATGCATGCCAGAGGTTTTGATAGGTTGTATCACTGTTATCATTCAGTTAAGAGAATTTTTAAATTTCCATCTTGATTTCATTTTGACCCAGTGATCTTTCAGGAGCAGGTTTTTAAATTTCTGTGTATTTGCATGGTTTTGAAGGTTCATTTTGGAGTTGATTTCCAGTTTTATTCTACTAAGGTCTGAGAGAGTGCTTGATATAATTTCAATTTTCTTAAGTTTATTAAGGCTTGTTTTGTGGCCTATCATATGGTCTGTCTTGGAGAAAGTTTCATGTGCTGATGAATGGAATGTATATTCTGCTGCTGTTGGGTAGAATGTTCTGTAAATATCTGTTAAGTTCATTTGTTCTAGGGTATTGTTTAAATCCATTGCTTCTTTGTTGACTTTCTGTCTTGATGACCTGTCTAGTGGTGTCCGTGGAGTATTGAAGTCCTGCACTATTATTGTGTTGCTGTCTCATTTCTTAGGTATATTAGTAATTGTTTTATAAATTTGGGAGCTCCAGTGTAAGTGCATATATGTTTAGGATTGTGATGTTTTCCTCTTGGACAATGCTTTTTATCATATAATGTCCCTCTTTGTCTTCTTAAAATGCTATTGCTTTATTTATTTTTTGAGATGGAGTCTTGCTCTGTCACCTGAGCTGGAGTGTAGTGACGCAATCTCAGCTCACTGCAACCTCCACCTCCCAGGCTCAAGCGATTCTTGTGTCTTAGCCTCCTGTGTAGCTGGGATTATAGGCACCCACCACCACATCCAGCTAATTTTTGTATTTTTAGTGGAGATAGGGTTTCACCGTGTTGGTCAGGCTGTTCTCAAACTTCTGACCTCAGGTGATCTACCCACCTCGGCCTCCCAAAGTGCTGGGATTACAGGCGTGAACCACTGCATCCAGCCTGCTGTGTTGCTTTAAAGTTTTTTTAATCAACTCCTGCTCACTTTTGGTATCCATTTGCATGGAATGTCTTTTCCACCCCTTTACCTTAAGTTTATGTGAGTCTTATGTATTAGGGGAGTCTCCTGAAGGCAGCAGATAGTTGGTTGGTGAGTTCTTACTCATTCTGCAGTTGTGTATCTTTTAAGTGGGGTATCTAGGCCATGTACATTCAGCATTAATATTCAGAAATGAGGTACTATTCCAGTCATCTTGCTATTTATTGCCTGTATACCTTGTTTTTTTTAACTGCATTTTTGTTTAATAGATATTGTGAGATTTATGCTTTAAAGAGGTTCTGTTTTGATGTGTTCCCAAGATTTGTTTCAAGATATAGAGCTTCTTTCAGCAGTTCTTGTAGTGCTAGCTTGGTAGTGGCGAATTATCTCAGTATTTGTTTGTCTGACAAAGACTGTATCTTTCCTTCATTTTTGAAGCTTGGTTTCACTGGGTAAGATCTTATTCATTCTGCAGTTGTATATCTTTTAAGTGGGGTTTTCCTTTAGATATTACCTGGTGCTTTTGCTTCATACCTCTTAATATTCTTTCCTACATCTTAACTTTAGATAACCTGATGATAATGTTGCTAGGTGATTATCTTTTGCAGTAAACTTTCCAGGTGTTCTTTGATCTTCTTGTATTTGGATGTCTAGGTCTCCAGCAAGGCTGGGGAAGATTTTCTCGATTATTCCCCCAAATATGTTTTCCAAATGTTTAGATTTCTCTCCTTCCTCAGGAATGCCAATTATTCTTAGGTTTGGTTGTTTAACATAATCCCAAACTTTTTGAAGGCTTTGTTCATATTTTCTAAATCATTTTTCTTTGCCTTTTTTGGGTTGGGTTAATTCAAAAATCTCATCTTAGAGCTCTGAAGCTCTTTCTTCTGCTTGTTTGATTCTATTGCTGAGACTTTCTGGGACATTTTGCATTTCTATAAGTGCATCCATTGTTTCCTGAAGTTTTGATTATTTTTTATTTATGCTATCTATTTCACTGAAGTTTTCTCCCCTCATTTCTTGTATGATTTTAAAAAAATTCCTTAAATTGGGCATCGTCTTTCTCTGGTGCCTCCTTGATTAGCTTAATAACTGACCTTCTGAATTCTTTTTCAGGTAAATTAGGGATTTCTTTTTGGTTTGAATTGATTGCTGGTGAGCTAGTGTGATTTTGGTGGATTGTTAAAGAATTTTGTTTTGTCTTATTACCAGAGTTGGTTTTCTTATTCCTTCTCATTTGGGTATACTCTGTCAGAGGGAAGGTCTAGGGCTCAAGGCTGTGGTTCAGAGTCTTTTGTCCCACAGGTGTTCTTTTGATGTAGTACTCGTTCCTTTGGATCTACCTACCCAGCAGGTGTACCATGCTCTGGGCTGTTACTGGGGGTTGTCTGTACAGAGTCCTGTGATGTGAACTGTCTGTGGGTCTCTCAGCCATGGGTACTGGCACCTGCTCTTGTGGAGGTGGTAGGGAGGTGAAATGCACTCTGTGAGGGTCCTTAGTTTTGGTTGTTTAATGCACTATTTTTATGGTTGTTGGCCTCCTGCCAGGAGGCAGCACTTTCAAAAGAACATTAGCTGTGGTACTATGGGGAGGATCAGGCAGTGAGTGGGCCCTAGAACTCCCAAGAGTATATGCCCTTTGTCCTCAGCCTCCAGGGTGGGTAGGGAAGGACCATTAGGTGGGAACAGGGATAGTGGTGTCTGAGCTCAGACTCTCCTTGGGTGGGTCTTGCTGTGGCTGCTGCGGGGCATGGGGGTGTGGTTCTCAGGTCAATGGAGTTATGGTCCTAGGAGGATTATGGCTGCCTCTGCTGTGTCATGCAGGTTGTCAGGGAAAGCTGGCAGTCACAGACCTCACCCAGCTTCCATGCAACACAGAAGACCAGTCTCACTTACATTGTGCCCCACCAACTACCAACAGCATGATTCTGTTTCCAGGCAGTGGGTGAACGTGGCTGAGAACTTGCCCCAGGCTACCAGACTCCCAGCTGCAAAAGCAAGTAGGGGTTTCATGCTTCCCTGCCTGTGGAGTTTGCACTCTGGATTCACAGCCTCCACATTCTGGCCAGGAGACTTCTCACTAAGTAAGAATTGTTTAGAAGTTCAGCTGAGGACCACCTGGTGTGGGGGCTTACGCCTGTAATCCCAGCACTTTGGGAGGCCGAGGTGGGCGGATCGTGAGGTCAGGAGTTCAAGACCAGCCTGGCCGACATAGTGAAACCCTGTCTCTACTAAAGATACGAAAAATTAGTTGGGCATGGTAGTAGACATCTGTAACTCCAGCTACTCGGGAGGCTGAGGCGGTAGAATTGCTTGAACCTGGGAGATGGAGGTTGCAGTGAGCTGAGATCTGGCCATTGCACTCCAGCCTGGGCAACAGTACAAGACTCCATCTCAAAAAAAAAGAAAAAATGTTCAACTGAAGGTTTCCTTCTCCCTGTGGTTTTCTCCAAGTACCTCTGGCAGTCCTTCCTGAGATCTCCTGTGAGGCAAGGCAGAAATGACTTCTTAGGGGAACTAGAGAGCCCACAAAGCTTTTCCCACTGTCTACTCTACCTCTGTATTTCACTAGGCTCTCTAAATTGACTCCACTCTAGGTAAGGTCAGAAGCTTCTCCCATGGCCCAGACCTTTAGTTTCCCCAGTGCAGGTGTGTGTTTGGGGGTGGACAATTCCCCTTTCCCACTTCCACCATTTAAGTACTCGTAGTATTGGGGGTGTTTCCTGGGTCCTGCAGGAGTAATCTGCTTCCTTCAGAGGTCTGCAAGAGTCTCTCAGCTTTCATGATTTATTCCTGTAGTAGTTCCAAAGCAAAAGCTCACAGTGCGAGACTCCACACGCTGCTTTGTCTGTCTGAGTAAGAGCTCCAATCTAAT